AGGCACCTGTAGTCCCAGCTACTTGGGAGGCTGAGGCAAGAGAATCGCTTAAGCCCAAGAGTTTAAGGTCACTGTGAGCTGTGACCCCTATGGCACTCTACCCAGGACCACATAGTGAGACTCTTGTCTCAAAAAAAAAAGAAGAAGAATTTAATATATCAACAAGAACACTGGAGTAGCCATCATAAGAAAAATCAGAACAACATTGGATTTCTGTCTCTTATTTTTGGATTCTGTATATACTTTTATTTTTATTTACATATGAGGAAGAGATGTTAGGGCATCAATCTTTTTAGTGCTTAGGACCTCCAAATATCTTAATCTAGTTCTGTGTGCATCTTAAATTATCATAATTTTTATTTACTCAGTTATTTAGCAAAAAGCATTTTATTTCATAAAAATTTTAACACATTTATACCCATATTTTAACATATTTAATACAATTTTTCTAGTATGAAACCCAATAAATGCTAGAAAGCAACTCGTAAGTTGGAGTTCTGTCTTCTCAGCCAACAGGGCTACCACATCATCACACCCTCCAGCTATACAAAAGATTCCATAGTTCCCAGAATAATCAAAAGTAAATCATTATTTCTTACTTGAATGAAAATGAAATCTTAAATGTTCTATTTGCAATGTCTAAATATATGTAAGAAGAAAGAGAGGAGTCAATTTCTTTTGTTGCAGTTCCCAGTTGAGTCACAATTCAAGTTCAGTTACGTGAGAAAAGCATTCTGGTTATTTTATTTTTCCCTCAACAATTCAGTTGTGGAAAATATTGCCAGATTCTTCCCAGCTTCAACTTTCCCTCTACCTACCAGCCAGTCTTAATGTGTTTTGTCGTTAATATTACAGTATACTTCAAGGAGAAGGGTACAGATGTTACTTGTGGATAAACTTGCCCAAGACCGGTTCTAATTAGACCACTTGTCATTTTTTGCTTGGTTTCATTTTGACCACTGGGTGCATCAGGCAACCAACCGTGTTGGATATTTTGAAGAGTAGAAAAATACAGAAAGCAGTAGCTAATTTATCTCATATAGCTAAAAGACGAAGTACAAAGTACAGAGAGTTGGTGTCAGATGATTAAACCATTAGGAAAGAATCCATTTCTTTACAACTAGAAACCCCCCTCACATCCCCAATCCCCCCAAACCAACCAGTATCTAAGTTAATGAAAGACAAGTTAAACAAAGAAGTGGCTTTGGTAGAAAACATTTCCAAGACTTATTTTAAATTCTGCTTTATGAGTAATTGTTTTTCTCCCTTTCCTCCAAGAATACGAATATTTCAGTTTCTTAGTCCTTGGAACATTCAGGCTTCGTAAAGATTGGTTACCTACACAATGTGCTAAGTTTTCGTAAACTCAGCCTGTACAAGACTTACTTTTTTCTGAACACTTTGCTCGTGGGCTGGTTCTCTCCCTCACCCCCATGGCCACCTTTACCCACTGTTCATCTGGCAGGTGCGAGGCCAAGACCCTGGGCTCAGCGCAGGAGGCCAAGTTTACTCAGTGCGCGCGCCCTAGAGGAGGCGGCTGCAGCCGCAAGGCCTGGCCGCTCAAACTTTTCGAGGCTGGCAGGGGAGCGCGGAGGCGGGCCGACCTGCCTAGCTAGGGCTGGAGAAGACTCCCTCTACGCCAGCTCGCTCTCAGCCAGAGCGGATGAGATTTTTAAGGCCCCACTGCTTTCCACCACAGTCTTAATTAACAACACCCCCCCGCGCGCGTTCCCGTAGAGCTCCGGGCAGCCCGAGGTTTCGCGTCGCAAACACCAGCCAGTCCACCAGCCGAAGGATGGCAGGCCCGGATCGGCTAGGCAGAACCCGGCTCCAGCCGGGGCCTGGCGGTGGGATTGGCGGGCGAGAGCCAGCGCTAGAGACAGAGGGAAGGAGGCGGGGAGGAAGGGCGCGGGGCCGAAGGGGCGGAGCCCGCGAGGCCGCGAGCGAAAGCGCCAGCAGGGCGGAGGGCGGGGCGTGGGCCGTGCCCGGCCTTCCCGCTCCCGCGGAGCAGCAACTCGGCGGAGCCTCCTTAAAACTCTGCCGTTAAAATGGGGGCGGGTTTTTCAACTCAAAAAGCGCTCAATTTTTTTCTTTTCAAAAAAAGCTGATGAGGTCGGAAAAAAGGGAGAGAAACCGGCACCGTCTCTGAGAGGCAACAGAAGCAGCAATTGTTTCAGCGAAAAAAGAAGCAAGAGAGGGACTGAAGGAAAAGAGCAGAAAGGGGGAAGACGCGCAAGTGTCTGTAAGAGTGAAGGGAGCTGAGCCTGGCAATTTGGGGATATCAGCTACAAAAGCAACTGTCACTGGGAGCACTACGGCTTGGGAAGAACCTTTGCTGCTAGGCTGGGCTCCAGGACACAGCTGGCTGGTGGCTGCCCTGTCCGGGACACAAGTAAGGGCACGGCACAGGCCGGGGACCGCGAGAGATTGGCGAAGTGGCACTAGGCACTGAAGCTGCCGGGCTCTCTCCAAGAAGGCGACCGGACTGGCTGAGCCCTGAAATTGTGGCGACTCCCCCTACTTACAGCTTGGCCTGCACTTCCCAGGAACCTCCCCATCTCCCAGAAAACCGGGAAAGGAAGGAAAAGACGGCGGCGGCAACAGCTCAATGAATGCCTACAGTAGAAAGCTTGAATTAGCTCGGTCGTAGGCGGGAAGTTACCGGTGGGCTGCCCTGTGCAGCCGAGATGCTGCCCGGAGCTGCCCCAGCGACCCGGGCCCGATAGACACTTCCCGCATCGCTTTCCTCCTTTCTCAGGCTGCCGGGAGTCCCGGGACCTTGTGGGGCAGGCATGACGGGCTTGTTGGGGGCCCGCCGCCCTCCTGGCAGCCTCTGGAGACGCGCGCGGAGCCCGGCTCCCACGACCTCTGAGGCTCGGCCGGGCGGCGGCAGTCTGGGGGGCGAGCTCCAGAGCCTTCCGGCTCGGCGTTAGCCCTCGGTTAGTCCCGGACGTGACTAAAGGCTCTTCTGGAGAAGCCGAGAGCTCCAGGGGGTCGTTAAGACCTTTAACTTGAGAGCCAAGGAACTGCTACTCTCGTTTGCCTTTTGCGATCTTCTTTAACCCCCCCGAGCACGCCAACATCCAGCCACCTCGGCGTTTCCCTAGCAGCTGAGGACCCAGGACTATCCCTTCGGCGAGACGGATGGAAACCGAGCCTCTTCGAGGACCTGCCCCTGCATTTCTGGCTCACGCGGCTCAAGTCACCACCGTGAACAAGGGTGGGTTAATGCCTTTTCTTCCGCAGTATTTTCTGCCCTGATCTAGTCCCTTAAGACTCCACACACATTGCTCACAGAGTTCTGTAGCGTAGGTACATGACAGCTCTGCCTACATCTTACATCCACAGTAATTAACCAGGAATGTATGTGTGTCTGTGTCTCTCTGTTGAATCACTGGAATTCTTCATAGGGGTTAAGCTAAAAAGCGAGGAGAGGAGCCCCTCTCCAATGGCTCAGTTTTGCTGAATAATCACGTGTGAATCGAGGGGCGGGCTTTTGGCAGGCAGATCTTACTAGTATTTACTACCAAGCTCTACTCCAGATTAACCATCCCAGTCCTTCTGTCAGTCTCCGATGCCATCATGCAGCCTGGTTAGGAGCAAAGGAAAGAGGAAAAAGAAAAACAACTAATTCATCTTCTCCCGATCGTCAGGACCCTAAAGAATGGCCGAGCCTTGGGGGAACGAGTTGGCGTCCGCAGCTGCCCGGGGGGACCTAGAGCAGCTTACTAGTTTGTTGCAAAATAACGTAAACGTCAATGCACAAAATGGATTTGGAAGGACTGCGCTGCAGGTTGGTATTCAGAGAGGTGGGGAAAACAGGTCAGTAATGTTGCCTACGTGACCCGGGTTTCTAGAATGACAGCTTTTAATCTTTCAGTGGTACAAAATTTCACTGTTTTCAAACCTAGTTGGTTGCCATATTTTATATCTTTAAGTGGATCCAACTCCCCAGAATGACGTACTTTGAACAAATTCGTCAAATCCAATAACATCTTCGATATCAAGTGAGTTCCAGGTTTGGTCTTAATTTTTGGAATGTTTTTGTGACGGTGGGGATTTTAAAGTAGTCATAGTAGCGCCGAGGTTTGTTTTGTTTTGTTTTTAAAGACAGCTCTGTAAACACATTATTATGATTATTTGAAGTAAATACACTGCTATTAGTGGTTTCACGTACTTTGCCCCCAATAATGACTTTAATGTTAATTTTCTAGACTACTGGTAAGGGTGTTTTTCCTTCAAATGCTTCAGGTTTTGACAAACGACCTTTCCTCATTTGGAATGGGTGGCCTGGGCACCGGGACAGGATGTACATTTCACAGTTAATGAAATACCATCCACTCATTCAGGAGTGGGAAAGAATAAAAAGTTTAATTTTCTAATCAGAGCTTAGCTGCAATATTTTTGTCTCTGCGATCATGTCGTGGTATGCTCTAATTTTCAGTAATTAGATTTACAGGAAACAATTGACATGTGTCCAGCTGCCAAGAATTATACCTGATAATTTTTTTTCTCCTCTGAATGTTATATGTAATTTAGTTGAAAAGCTTAGAAACAGAAAAATGGCACAATAGTATCAAATAGTTGCTTTATCAGAGTTCTGATGACATTCTTTCTGAGCTATTCTTATTTGGAAATGCAACACTTGAAGTTGTTTTTGAGAACCTATTGGGGAGAGGGTTTTTAGCCAGCTTTGTTTGGGTTGCAAGAATTTGAAATTTACACGGAAAGAGATATACTATTAACAGATGAAATCCATAGAGTTTGTACATTTTAAAAAAGAATACACTGCCCTTGCAAAAATCTCAGTACGTAATAGTATTACATTATTTATCTTATTTCAGGTAGATTAAGTGGGGAAAGGATTTTTTTTTTCTTTTTTCACCTAGGAGTTTTGAACAGGTTTGGTGATGATAGCAATGCCACAAATTTAATATGTTGAAAAGCTTCCTGTTGAAAACTCAAAAGATTATATAAACCTCACAAAGAGTGAGCCACTTCACCCATGTTCAGAGGACTTTTGACGAACAGGAAGACAGGGAGATTAACACTAAAAAAATTTTTTGACAAACATTTTTAATGCAACTCTGAATCTTGTTTATATTAAACATACTTATCAAGATACTAACACCCACTTATTGTGGCTTAGTGCTAGAACATAAAATGAAACACACACACACTAAACAGGAGTTTCAAAACTTATTTTCAGTATACATAATCCTGACTCAAATTATGTCATAACTTAGAAAGAACGTTCTTCAAAATCACTTCCAATGTTACTATTATTTTTTGTGAAAATAGGCAAATTTACTCCTGCAATTATGTTTATTTAACTCAAGTATAAAAGCCTTTTCCTCCTCCCTAGTGTAGTTTTTCTATCAGGGCAGTATCAAAGGCCTTAATCGTACATTTGCTTTACAAAGATCCAAGGTGTCTGTCTTTTATTTTTCTCATTCTAGGTCCTTAAATGTGACTAAGTCTTTAGAGACAGTTGTGGCCAAAATTAGGTTATATTAATTTTTAATGACCAAAAGTATATTTCATTAAAGTTCTTAAAAAATTAACTATGTATCATTTTTTACCACTGTATCAAAGGAAGGGGTAAGAGTCAACAGGGTTTTATCAATGGGTAATCCTAATACCTTGCCCAACTATATAGTTTACGTTTATAAAATATTATTCATCACTCCAAATACATTTTTATATTACTTAATTTGTGAACATTTTTATAAAACATTTTAAGCAGATCAACTTTGTCTTCTCCAATAGATTATCATTAGATTTCATAAATACTCAGTTTCTATTATGTAAGCTATCTATTTATTATAAATTTAGATTAATATGAATATACCTAAATATAAATAAAAGCAGTTAAAAATGCAGAAAATTCCTGGCATGGCAATGAGATTAATATTTTTCAAAACTAAATTATATACATGTATTTTTATACTTAATGCTGCTCTACAAGAGATTTTATAATCATGAGATACTAATACCAATCTCTTATTAGAGTGAAATATATTCTAATAACAGCAAGTAAGTCCTTGTGATATGAATTATTTGTATATTGATAGTAAACATTAATACCACATTGTGACTTTTAAAATGTTGGCATTTTTTAAATAACTATTCCTAAATGCCTGATAATAACTGCAAAGGGAAATAAAATGGAATCACCAGTTGAGTACTAAATGGACTCAAACCACAAGACAAGGCTGTTCATGTACCAAAACACTCATTAAATATCTTATTCTTTCTTCTTTTGCTCACTCGAAAATAAGAAGGCTAGTGAGAACTTTGAGCAATACTAAGTAATGTAGCAGGATGACTATTTCATTCTTTTTAAGAACAGTTGCCTTACAGTCATTTCCTATCTAATACAAGGCATATCAGGAACTTAATTTTACATACATTGATATTATAAGCAATGTAGAACAGTGTTGGCTTATTTAACACCTTAAGAATCAGTAACATTCTGTAATTTGAAATGAAAGATTCTAAGCACTGAATACACCTAGGAGGCAATATTAAATAACTTGCAAAGAAAAATATATTTTAATGCAACACTTAGAATATTTGGTACCTTCTCTATTTGGAAGGAACTTATAAAAATTAATCATTTAAGAAAATATCAGGTCTAGATTTTTATCGGATAATTTTTATACTAGGTGATGGACTCAGATGTGTTGAAACACTTGTTTTGGAGTATAGAGAGATTCACTATCCTTATTTGCTTTCAGTAGCTATTTAGAAAATTTTACCTCATTTGATTTTCCAGATAAATACCCAACGCACATTTTATAAGTATGAATAAGCAAACAAAAAGAGACTCTTAAGTTCCAAACTCCATTTCTTTTATTTTAATGAATTCATAAAACTACATAATTCTTCATGGTTGACAGAAAACTGAGTTGTCAGTGAATTTTATACAAGTTGCAAAAATTATTTTCTACTGATCACTTGATCCTACTTTGATGCCATTTAAGATATTCCATCTTAGAAGCTCAACTTTTAGAAATTTTCTTCCACTTTCACCTACTAGCTCTTTTCTGCAACTCTGCCCTTGGAACTTCATCCTATGGGTCTTTCCTAAGCACTCCACCAAAAATAAATAGGGACATAATTAGAAGGGCAGGTAGTTATTTCTGTAGCATGAGCACTTGAAGGTTTCTACCATTTTTACCTCTTTTCTAGGTTATGAAACTTGGAAATCCCGAGATTGCCAGGAGACTACTACTTAGAGGTGCTAATCCCGATTTGAAAGACCGAACTGGTTTCGCTGTCATTCACGATGCAGCCAGAGCAGGTTTCCTGGACACTTTACAGACTTTGCTGGAGTTTCAAGCTGATGTTAACATTGAGGATAATGAAGGGAACCTGCCCTTGCACTTGGCTGCCAAAGAAGGCCACCTCCCTGTGGTGGAGTTCCTGGTGAAGCACACCGCCAGCCATGTTGGGCATCGGAACCACAAAGGGGACACCGCCTTCGATTTGGCCAAGCTCTACGGGAGGAACGAGGTCGTTAACCTGATGCAGGCAAACGGGGCAGGGGGAGCCTCAAATCTGCAGTGAATGTGGGGACGGCTTTCTCACAAAGTCTCTACTTTGTCAGTTAATTGGGGGGCTGTTATAACCATTTTAATATCATTTGTTAAAATACAGTTTTGTCATATTTTAAGCAGGTAGTTAAATCTTCTGAAATTGCATAAGTAAAAATCTTACAACAGCTTATGAATATATTTAAGCAACATTTCTTTTGCCTGCAAAATCCTGCCTTCTAATGTGTAATTGCAAATAGTTTGGCTTTCTTCTGAACATTTTATCTTTCCTTGCTTTCCCGCTTTGCCAATCTCAATACTCAACTTGGAAAGTTTGTTTTTAAAATGGTTTGTCCTGATGCTTCTTTTACCTAATTAAAACGCTTTTTCAAAACAGGACAAGGTTTTTCTGTGATGTTTCACTCTATAACCCATACACAACTTGCCACTTGCTAAGGAGAACTGTACTAAAAATGCATTGATTTTGATGTTAGAAAAAGTTTTCCATTTGACAATTGGAAAACTAGACATTCTTTTATGATTCAGGTATTCTTTTCTTCTTTTCTCCATATCCCTACCCACTCCTCACATTTTTCTTGGTGCCTAGTATTTCCAATTTAACATAGAATAAGGACAACATATTTTGAAAATCAAACTAGAAATTATACCATGTAAACTCCCTAAAGTTCAATCCTCCCTTCTTCTCAAAATTAAGTCAAATAGTTGAAGGACAGATTTCAGAACTGTCGATCTGAAAACAAATTAATCTTAGCTCCAAAAGCCAGTTTTAAAAGAAAACGCCACCTTAAAAGTGCTTTCCATTACTTGATTTTTTAATCACAAAATTAAACAAATAATACATTTCCCAAAAATGATAAGTACACTAAGTATAACATTGACCTTTTTCTCCCCAAATGTCAGAAATGTAAAACTAAAAAGTGTTTCAGTATTAAAATATAATACCGGCTTGTAGAGAATAAAAAACACAGCAAGGAACAGTATGTAAATTAGAGATAAAGGTCACAACTATGTTAGAGTCTGCAGAATAATAAATGTAGTAACTGGTGTAATAATAAATAAGTTATTCCCACAGATGGTACCTAGTTTCCACAAAACTTTTTAGTAAAGGAGTATAAAATCTTTTAAGGAACATGTTTAGCTAAAAAATTTTTTTAAAAAAAATTTTTTTTGAAGGAAAGAAATTTAAAATTTCCAAGAGGAGTTTTCCAGCATCTACTACATAAGCTCTGTCATCTTAAGATTATCTAAATTTACAAATACTTTATCATCTCCCACATGATCAAAGATGTTTTATGTGAAAGTTTCCTCCTCCTTCATAAGCTCTCTGCCCTTGTTCCATAAAGAACAAAATACTTCAAGGTTTGTTGAAGGACATGCTCTGAAGCCTGCTCTAAGAAGGATTAGAGTGATTGCAGGGAGTGGTTTTCAGCAATTTATTTTTCAAGATAGAATAAAAGAATATAGGAGGAAAAGTTTAAACCTTATCATTTTGCACTAAAATTCACAATCTCTAACTGCAACAAGCCTTTGACTCCTGCCATCTTTAACCACAAGTTACTAAATACATTTTTGATGGCAACATAAAATTAAGCTCAGAACACTTCTTTAAAAAGGAAATAGAAATTGAGATGATTTTGAAGAAAAAAGTATTTTGTGTTCAAAAATAGTCACTATGCAAAATATACTACCTTAGCTAAATATTTTTTTAAATACAACACTATTACTGAAAGTAAGTGCTTCTTATATAAGCAGCAACTATAAAAGATGGACGTTCTGAATTTAAAATGGATTTTACAGTATCCAGTCTCAGCATGTACTATAAGGTAAAAATTCCCTTTAAAGATTTCATAAGCAAAAAAAAGAAGCACTTCTGCAATTGCTTTGTTCTCGGGTGGTCGGAGCACGACGGGGGAGGAAGCTCTATCTTTTCATCAGCCTAAAATTTGCGAGGCATTAAAACATTGCCACATTACTCTGGCTCTTCGCAGGAAGTAGCTTTGCTAATCTAAGTATTTTAGAAATGAGTTGTGTGGTCCCCTCTAGGAAATATGAAAAGCCAATATTCAATCTCTCAAAAACCTCGACAACATTAAGTAAGACTCTTGAATATCCCGAAATGTATAGGATGGAAGAACCGATGCTGCTGAGTTTAATGGAGTCTCATTTGCAGTGAACTGAGGTGGGGAGGAGTCTAAACTTACTCAGACGCAAGAGGATGGGGGGCAGGTGCCAATTAATAGAGTGCCAGAGTCCCAGGGAAAGACGCTATAGTAAGGATGGAGAATACAAAGCAGAGATGCGCTCTCAAATTCGGTTCTTCGCTGTGTCCGCACTCATACCGGGAAACAGGCTCAGCCAAGTTCATACCTGGGGGTGGGGGGCCAACAGGACCTCAGTCCATGTTCTGTTCCCAGAACTACTAAGCCAAGTGCCTTTTATTGTATTTTTGGTAGTGAATTAATAGTTTTCTGATAAACATTATGCATCTCACAATGGGTATGAGTTCATGTGCACACATACACTTAGGACTAATAAAGTATTCTGTCCTGGGAAAGCAATTTGCTGTGTAATATGACAAATTTCCCTTGTCCTATTGATCAAATGAACGTCGTAGAATCCGTGGGTCAGGACTGGTTTCAAAATCTCAGTTCCCAGAAAGGTGCTTTTGGCTTTTACCGGTGATAGAATAGTCCATAAGCGCTGGATGGTCCCAGTGCTGGAGCAAGAAGGGTGGTCCTCACTGCCTTCCTGACTGCCCTAAGCAACCCTGGTGCAAAGGCTCTAGGGGGAAATCCCTGTCTTGATCTCCGGAGACTGTTTTGCTTTCACACGGCAGTTGCATGAAAACAGATCCACGCAGGAACCTAGTGAGAGGCAGGAGACAAACCTCCCGCCGGAGAACGCAGTAAAGCTCTGCACGTAGCAAACCTAAGCTCTCTACCGAGGGGCTGCGAGGACATCTTTTCTGTCCCTTTCAAACTCGTTCTCCAGACTCCGATTCCAGCCCCCAGAGCCCAAGTGAGAAAGCTGGAGCCCAGGGCTCCCTCAGGGCGCGCGGAACAGCCCGGGGTGGGGGTGGGGAAGCTTCAAAACCGTTAGCTCGCGTTTTTTTTCCCCTCCCTCTCTAAAGTTTCTTTTCTTTTCTCTTCCTGTCCAAATATTTCAAATTTCCGCGCCTTAAATAACAGTCTCCTTTTATTTAGTTAGTTTCCTCGGCAGGTTTGGCCGCCCGCTTGTCTCTGCCCCCCTACCGGCCCGGGGCGCCTGGGGCGCCTCGGTGCTGCCTGCAGCCCCCGCGCGCTGCCCCCAGCCCAGCTAGCGCGGCACGGAGCGGGCCCGCCGGAGCCACAGCCCCCTGCTGCCGCGACCTCGCCTGACCCGGCTGTCCGGGCACCGGGAGCCAACTCAGGCTGCCCCCAGCCCAGACGCCTGCCTGCCTAGCAGCTTGACTTCCCTCTCCGGACTTGGGAGCGTCTTCTGCTGTGGGGCTGGGATCCGGTGGTCCTGGAGCGGCAAAGGGCCGCGGAGATAGGAAAGCAGCGGAGAAGGGCCGTGGCCGGAGCCTGCCCCAGCCCCCACCCGGGGTAACCTTGGAGCTGCCCTCGGAGCGAGTGAGTGCGCGGCCGCGCCAGCCGGCTGGGGCGAGCTGGCGCACTGCGCAGCGGGCAGGAGGCGGGAGCTGGGGGCGGGGAGGGGCAGCGGGCTCCGGCGCCTCCGGGCCGCCGCCGCAGCGCCCCGGGAGCTGCGGGCAACCCGGGCGTCCAGCCCCCCATCCCCACCCCGCCCGGGTCCTGGCCCTCAGCAGCAGTCCCCGAGGAGGAGGCAGCCATCCCACTGGATGGCTCCTGCGACCTGTGCCTGAGGACTGGGGCTTGAGGGCGGCGTGGGAGCGGGGGCCGGCGGCCCGGTGAGTGCCCGGCTCTCGGCGGAGGTGAGCTGGCGGCGGGACGCAGCGGGGCGGCTGGTGCAACTCAGCGCCGCGAGCCAAAGCCAGCGGTCCCTCCCCTCCCCCCATGACAGCTGAGGACAGCCGGGCGCAGAGCCTCGCGTCCAATTGCGCCGAGGCAAATGCCTCTCTGGCTTCTTAGCCCTTTAGACTATTCGGAAAGTTGCCCTATGGTTTTGCCTTTCTCCCCATAAATTATTAGACACCCAGGACTGAAAATGCATGTTCAATTCAGAAGACCCTCAGCCTGAAACACCGCGAATTGCAGGGCTGGGGTGCGCAAAACGTCTAGAAGGGGTCTTGTTTTTTCAATCTGGAATAGTTTCGAAAAATCGAGTACTGTATGGATCATCAGCGGTGCCTTAAAAGAGTAAAAATTCCCTAGATCTGGATGTGGACTTGGTAAATTAAGATTCCAGCGAAATGTTTTGCCATTTACTGTAGAAACACAGTGCGAGCTTCAGCTGTTAGGATGTGGGTTTGGAATTTTCTGTGCTGTCTTTAATCCTCAAAGACATTAAATTAACAGCATGGTAACACACCTGGCAAGTGAGCAAAGGTTATCCTTGCCACCACAGCACCTGCAAAAGCACATGTGGAACCCACATATTTTGCTTCCTGAGTCCTAAAATGGCTTCTGAACCGTCCAGGGGTACCAGCACGTAAGGGGAGGAGGACGAGGACAGGAGGACAGTTTGTACAGTTTTTAAAACTACACGGATACTATTACACTTCGGTTGTTCCACCTCACCTCTCTCTCCCAGCCCCGTCCTCATCGGTCAAGGAAGAATTTTAGTGTAGGCCTATTCAATAATTCTATATTCAGACTTTTTCTCTTCCCTCACATCTCCCTCCTGCAAACACACATAAACACACTCACACACACATAACAACAACAACCAGCCAAAAACATCAGCTCTTTTGGGGAGGAAGTACAAAACCACTAAATCTTTATCCAACTTCACGTCACTTCTTTTGGGCACTAAGAAGAAATCCTACGTCCAACCAATGCTGTGAAAGAAATAATTTACCAGGACTTCAAACACATTTAATTGGTATAATTAAAGTGATATTGTCCTTAAACATGAAAATAATGAGACAGTTTCTAGAACTGATGCTTGAAAAACTAAAAAAAATCTTCCTGGAAACTTTCGGAGACAGAAGCTTCTACTCTTTAAATTTTATCAGTAGTTTTAGAAAAAAAAAATGATACTTTGTCTTGACCATATAAAGTAGTATGATGCTGACCAAATTTATTTTTATTATATACTTTAGATTTTCAGATGTGTTATATGAATAATGAAAATACACATATAAAGAAAGACAGTCATCATCTTTTAATTCTAAACTGTTAATTTAGTAATGCAAACAAATTATCACACCATATTAAAATACAGTCCACTCCTCTCCTCCTTCTTAGTATACAGTGTGC